GGGTTTGAACCGCTGACCTTCTGGTTGACAGCCAAATGTCTTACCCACTGTGCCACCAGAGCTCCATATATATATTTCCATCAAGCTGTAACACTTAAGAGACGTGCCCTTTGTGTACGTGAAACCTCAGTACCAGGGAAGTAAATGAGTTGTCCGCGTTGACAAACGCCCATCAAACGGTTTATCTCCAGAGCTTGTGTTAGTAACCACTACGCCACGTTCTCTCTCACTATTGATCGAGACCTTTGCTAAGTGCTTATGCTCTAAGCCGTTTCCATCTATTAATAAAACCCCAAAACCCAAACCGGTTGCTGACCAGTCAACTCTGACTCATCTAACAACCCCATAGGACAGAATAGACCTGCTCTTAGGGTTCCCACAGCTGTAAATCTTTAGGGAAGCCAATGGTCTCATCTTTCTCCCACAGAGTGGCTGGTGTGTTCACACTGATGACCTTTCGGTGAGCGGCGCCACCAGCACTCCCTAATAGACACGTTGGTTAAACAGCTCATTTAACCGTCAACCAATGCCAACAGTCCTGAGTCCTGAAGCGGGAGGAGAGTGGGGTGCAGATTGTGGGTGCGGAGTGGAAGCACGCGGTCCACAGCAGAAGGGGCCTCAGGCCTGGGCAGCCTGGCTCCTCACACACGGACGGCTCTGGGGAGGCCCCCATGAGGCACCCCTCCCTCCCCTGAGCAGGCCAGGTGCTGGCTGCTTCCTTGGGACCCCGATCACTGGCTGTGATGTGGGACACTCTGCTGAGACCCAGAGCTGACAGTGGTGGTCCTTCCTCAAATGCCTTCCATGGGTCCCTCAGAGTAAAGCCTCGGCTCTTCAACCTGGTACCCAAGACCTCAAACTGGACCCAGCTCCCCTTCCTGGTACTCCCAGGCCACTCACACCCTATTCGCCATCACAGTGGACTATTTTCTGTCTCTTGGAATATTTTAGGCTCACTATATGCTATGGGGGAGCTCTGGTGGTGTGGTGGTTAAATGCCCGGCTACGAATCAGAAGGTCGGTGGTTCAAATCCACCAGCCACTCCATGGGAGAAAGATACAGCAGCCTGTTTCTGTAAAGAATTATAGCCTTGGAGACCCTGTGGGGCAGTTCCACTCTGTCCTCTAGGGGCACTGTGAGTCAGAATGGACTCCAGGGCAGTGGGTGTGGTTTGGGCTTTGCTTCTGTGAAGATTGACAGCCTTGGAGACCCTGTGGTGCAGTTCCACTCTGTCCTCTAGGGGCGCTGTGGGTCAGAATCGACTCCAGGGCAGTGGGTTTGGCTTGGTTTAGGATGTGTTTGTCATGACTCAGAAACGACTCCAGGACAGTAGGTTTGGTTTGGGTTTTGCTTCTGTGAAGATTCACAGCCTTGGAGGCCCTCTAGGGCACTTCGACTCTGTCCTCCAGGGTCACTGTGGGTTGGAATTGACTCGATAGCATTGGGTTTGGGTTATGTGTTATGGATTGAATTGTATCCCCAAAAAATATGTGTTGTCAATCCCAGCCTAAGCCTGTGGTTATAACCTCATCTGGGAATGGACTGTCTTTTTCATGTTAATAAGGCAGGATTAGTGTAGGGTGTGTCTTGAGAGTCAGTCTCTTACAAGATATAAAAGGAGCAGAACTGGCCTAGCCACATGAAGATCTCCAAGGAACCAGGAAACTGAAGCTGAAGAGCCAAGGACCTTCTCCCAGAGCCAAGACAGATAGGAAGACTTCCCCCAGAGCTGGTGCCTGGAATTTGGACCTCTAGCTTCCTAACCTGTGAGAAAATAAATTTCTGTTTCTAAAAGCCACCCCCTTGTGGTATTTCCGCTATGGCAGCCCCAGGTAAGTAAGTCACCAAGCCTCTGTGCTTTCGTCCAGGCTGTTCCTCGGCCTGGAGCGCCCTTCCCTCCCTTCTGTGTCTGCTGAATACCAACTCAACCTTCCAGGTCCCTTTCAAATATCATACATACTTGGGTACGTGTTCCTCTCAGCTGACTCCACCTGGCTGGGGACCTGTGGGGGGTGCAAGAGGCTAGGTGCTCAACTGCTGGTCCAAAGGTTGGCTTTGGGAACCCGCTCAGAGTGCCCCAGAAGACAGGCCTGGCATTCTGCTTCCGAAAGTCTACAGCCTTGGAAACCCTCTGAAGTGCAGTTCTGCCCCACACATGTGGGGTTGCCTAAGTGGGAACTGACTCCCCGGCTGCTAACTGCCACCTGACCTCTGAGCCACCCCACACTGTCTGCTCAGACACAACACTGAGACCTTTAGACATTCCTCCTTGCAGTGAGTGGAGTCGCTGGTGTTGCAAACAGTAAACACGGCATGTGGTTGGTAACCAAAAGGCTGGCAGTTCGAGTCCACCCACTCAGTCTTTGAAAACCCTGTGAAACTTGCTTCTACTCTGACACTCCTGGGGTCGCCAGGAGTCAGACCCACTTGGTGAACGGCTCCTGGTTTGAGGGAGTGTGGTGTTAAGTTTGGTCAGTAGGGGCGCTGCACAGACAGTGAAGGAACAACAAAGCTTCGTTTCCCGGATGTTTTCCGTTGGCTTCTTGCTCCCCGCTCACAACTGCCAGTGGTGCCCCCCACACCAAGTTTCAGTGGCGTCCACGCGGCTTCTCTGAGGACAGCCTCCCTCCCAATGTGTCTCGCAGGTGGCCGGGATCCAGTGCCCCAGAGTCCAAGCACAAAGACACATGCTCTCACACGCCCCTGCGGTGACTGACAAGGCCTCTCCCAGACCTGACACTGTGCAACTCGGGGGAGGCAGGTTACAGTGGTGGCCCTGGCCACTGTCGATTTTCCCAGACCTAGCAGGGTGCAGGACACACAGCGGACCCGAGAGAAGGAGCCATTGGGGAGTGGGAGGAGGAGGCTGGACCACGCGGCGCCTAGCAGGTCCCTTCCCCATCCCAGTCTTCCTGTCTCAAAAAACAGGCAGGTGCAATCCTGTCGGGCCTGGTTTTTCAGCTGCCATTGGGGTGACTGTGAATCGTGGTGCCCCTGCGTTGCAGGGCTGAACTGCCCCACTGGGTTTTCAGGGCTGTGACTGAGTGGAACCGGATCACCAGCTCTTCCACTGGCACAGCCTCTCGGGGGGTTTGGGTCCCCAATCTTTCCGTCTGAGCACTTACTCACTTCTCTACCAGGACTCCTCCTACTGGGCTTGGCTCCCAAGACGCCCTAATGTGTGCAGCAGCCAGGAGGAGCAAGGGTCAGTCACCTGGACAGTGCAGCCAGGGATCAGACCTAGCTCTGCCCTCAGGCTGGGTGGTTCTGGGAAGGACCTTCCCCTTTCTGAACCTCAGATTCCTAGTTGGTGGGAAGGGGACTGACTTCCTGGGTGTCGCGCACTATGACCTGAACGGTTGACCATTCGAACTCACACGAAGGTGCTTCAGGAAGCAGGCTGGGTGACCTGCTCCTGAAAGGCCACGCTCTTGAAGGCCCCACGGGGCAGTCTGCTCTGCACACGTGGGGTCCCCCTGAGTTGGAACCGACCTGATGACCCCAACAACTGTAAGGTGCTGGGGTAGTTCCTGTCCCACAAAGTTGAGGTGTGGCCTTGGCTGATCTGTTTCCTTTCAGGCCAAGAGCCCTGGTGGTGCAGCACTTAAGCACTTGGCTGCTAACTGAAAGGTCAGCAGGTCGAACCCACCAGCCATTCCATGGGAGAGGCAGCCTCCTTCCATAAAGATGATAACCTTGGAGACCCTGTGGGGCAGTTCCACTCTGTCCTCTAGGGGCGCTGTGGGTCAGAATGGACTCCAGGCAGTGTGTGTGGTTTGGGCTTTGCTTCTGTGAAGACTGACAGCCTTGGAAACCCTGTGGTGCAGTTCCACTCTGTCCTCTAGGGGCACTGTGGGTCGGGATTGACTAGACAGCAATGGATAGCCTGTGATAAACCATAACCGTGAGTATACCAGCATTCAATAAGTTCTTTGAGTCCTTGTAATGACTTGTCAAAGGGAAGGTGGTCTCGGGAATCCCTTAACTTTCAACTGATGTCAGAAGTAAGGGTGGCCTTGTGGACTGTGTCCTCTAACTTTGCAGTCCCTGACCCAGGACCTGGCGTGTGGGTGGCTTTGGGGAATGCTGGTGGTCTATATCAGAGAGTGAATCTTTTCATACTCTTCTCCACCTTGGAAACTCATCCTCAGCCTTCCAGACCAAAGCCTCTTCCCAGTGCCTGTTTTCACCCAGGTTGTTTGTCCTTGCCAATATGTTTGCCTTCGAAATAATGCCCCCTCATTTTGGCACAAGGTTGGTGTAGGGAGAGTGTCTTCTCCATATCTTTCTGATCAGATTTGCAAATCGGAGGTATACATATGGCTTTTATATGACTCATGCTGCTTTAAAACAGAAAAACATGTTTTGAATTCGAGCGTGTTTGAAACAAGACATTTCATGCTGAAATCTGGATTTCCAGAATTCTCCTGAAAAAATAAGATCTGGAAATAGCAGCCCCGCAGTCTGCTCAGGGGACGAGGAGTCAGAGCAGAATTCACTGCCGTTAGTTAGTTATTCCCTTTCGATGGAGCACCTACTCCCAAGCTGCGTGTGGCCCCCACCGTGCCGAATACACTCACTTTGTTACCTGCTGTGGTGGGATTCGGAGTTTACAGGCTCTGTGTTACAGCCTCGTAAGGTCAGGAGAAAATGGCAGGGCAGAGGAAGCTGCCCCAAGAACCAAGAGTCCTGGGTCTCAGAGTCCCGACCAAGTGGTCTGAGGTGCTGTGAGCCTCACTTCCTCTGCTTGCAACACAGGAGTGGGTGGAAGCGGGTTCTGTACCCGCAATGTCCCTGCAGAGAGACCCCGGGGTTTTCCTTGGTGTCTGAGCCACGTCTTCTATGGCTCTCGGTTCTTCTCGGTGTAAAGTACTGAAACCATCTGACTGCAGAAGAGTCATGTGTCACTGTGGGTTCTCAGTGCTCCGTGCAGCCTCTGTGACGGTCCACCTCCTAGTCCTGCTACTTCCTTCCTTCCATGTAGGACCTGTGCTCTTACGTGTTGGCCTCCCTGCTGAGACCACACGCTCCTCGAAGGCAGGATCACACGTGTCTGAGAGGGAGTCGCTCATGCTCGGTAGGTCTGTGCAGCTCTGACCGGGCTGGTGGATCCATGTGTGTGGGAGCCATGTGTGTGTCATGATTCCCATCTGCCTTTGAGCGTCTACTGTCTTCCTTCTCTCTCAGGGGCCGGAGACTGTGGAGAACCAGACCCTGCTGTTTCTCTACCTTGGAGAAGCCGCCCCACCCCACACACATACCCAGGACTCTCAAAAACAGTGATCTAACTAACTTCTTTAGGTGTCCCTGGGTGACATAAGTGATTAAGAGGTACACTATCGGCCCAAAGGTTGGTGGTTCGAACCCATCCAGAGGCACCCTGGAAGAAAGGCCTAGTGATGTGGTTCTGAAAAGTCCCAGCTTTGAAATCCCACGGAGCAGTTCCACCTGCACACGGGGAGCGCAACGAGTCAGAACGGAGTCAACGGCAACTAACAACAACAAACCCCAGCTCCTTCTAACCTTTTCTAGGACACTCCTGGGTGAGGGAGGTTCATGCGTGTCTGCCTCCGCTGGGGAAAGGGCCAGGAAAGAAGAAATGGCTGGAAATTTAGGAGACGGGGGAATGAATAATAGAGCGTGGTTCCTCAGGAGGCAGACACATGGATCCCCAAGCAAAGATGTGGATCAAACCTTGAGCAGGAAGAGAGACGCTTGTTCTCTCACAAAGGAAGGAGACAAGACCAGTGGTGAGAGCTTTGTCGTGCGGGGCCGCTGTTCAGTTAGGCCCAGCCCTGGCTCTCCATCTCAGTCATGCATTATAATAAGCTGAGGAGCTTGTGGCGAGCACAGACTAGCTGGACTCTGACCTTAGGGGATTGGGTTCATAGATCTGGGGGCCCAGGAATCTCTCTCTTTAGGGAGCACCTTTGGTGACGCTGACAGGTCAAGCTTGATCTCTGGCCTCAGGTGTGCTGTGGCCATGCTGGTTGAGGGCCTGGACACGGTCAGACTGGCCAGCAACCTACCTTTCAATGGGCAAGTGAGGTCTGAGCCTCAGATTTCCTGAGGAGCTCTGCCTCCTTCAGCCACTCTGGCTTCTTGAGGACTGGGGCCTCTTTGGTCTTCAGAATTTGGCTTTCCTTCCGCCATTTAAGCATCTTCTTTCTAAAGCAGTGAGCCCCGCAATTAGGGCTGTGCTCTGCTCCCCCTTGGTTCCCAGGAGGTACCCCAGGCTACAGGTCAGAATATCGAGCTCCCCTCTGTAAGGCCTCCACACCTAGACTGATGTCACTATTTACACCTTGGCCCTCAGTGACCACGCACTGATGGGAGAAAACATCATACAGCAATGAGAGCTGGCACCAGTAGCAATGAACCACTTCCAGCCCCGAATTAACCACTTCCAGCCCCAGTGGGCCTTTGCTGCTGCTCTCCTTGTCCTTTAACAGATCCTGCTCCTTCTCCTCAAAGATTATCCAACCACACCCTCCACCATCACCGTGTTCCTCAAACCCCTTGGCCCTCACTCCTGCCCCTGCCCATATCACTTTCAACAGATGACTTGGTTGTGAAAAAAGAAGCCACTGAGTGGGAGGACCTCCTCTTTCTGCTCTCAGCCCACCCACCCCAATCCAATACTCAATCTAAAGGTGAGAAAGAAAAAGGCAGAATGTTTGCTACTGGATTTCGAGAGGTAAGGATAATGGATTGCCTTAGAAGCATTGTTTCAGTGGTGTGAAGCTGGAGACAGAGGCAAAGGGCTGAAAAGTGTACAGACAATAAGAATCAGGAAGTGAGTGTAAGCTATTCTCTGAAAAATACTGGATGACCCATAAGGGAGTTTGTAGGGGGAGGTGTCTGCACTTTCATGCCCTTTAGAGAAAGAGCCAGTAAAGAAAGAAAGAATGAAAATTTAGGAGACAGAGGGGATGATTAATGGAATGTGGTTTCATTAGGAGGAGATGGATCTCAAGGAGGTGGAGGAGGTGGATCCTAAGGAGGCGGAGGAGAAGGCTCTCAAGGAGGTGGAGGAGATGGACTCTGAAGCAGAGCAGGTGTATCTGACCTTGGACAGGAAGAGGTATGTCTTTTTTCTCTGAAAAAGGCAAAGAATCAATCGTCTATGCCAATGGGAGTAACTTTGCAGGTGTTGGAAGTCACTATTTTTCCTCTTTGAAGTAGGTAAGCTTTATTGCTAAGAGAGAGGAGACAACAGGGTTGGTGAAAATAGGAAAACGTCTGGATTACTGCCTCGGTAATGTGCTTGAGAGGGAAGATGTAAGGGCGTATGAGAAGCACTGACAGCTCCCCAAGGATGGACATTCTGAAGGGGCAGAGTTCTCTTAGAATCTCTCGTGTACAGACCTCTAACCTAGTGCTTGTTTGCTTGTCTATTTAAATAGAAAATACAGGAGGGGGTCACATGTTGATATGGGCGAGGGGAGGGGTGGTATGGAAAGAGTCTGTGACAAGCACGGTGACAATAGGGAAAGGGAGGACACAGAAATGTGCACAAAGATACAGACAATGGAGGCAAATACTATTGCATGCACAACACGGCATTACCAGCAGCACCAAACACTACCCTATGGGTAAATGCATAGACAGGTGAGAAGATCAGGTGGGGGTAGGCGAACAGGAATATACCCTAGGCCAAGGATAGACTTGGCTGAAGACAGTTTTACATATGCACTTGTGCTATAAAATTAGCCACATACACTACAGAAGGTTGGGCAATCTACTTCCATAGTGATACCGCCTTGGAAACCCAAGGAGGGGTCGCTATGAGTCAGGGCTGACTTGACGGCACATAACAACAACACAACAACAACACACTACAGAAGCAACAGAAGACAGGGATGGAGAAGCTCCTCAGATATAACCAAACACCTGGAGGGAGAGAATCACTGGGCCTGAGGACTTGAGACCATAGTTTCAAGGGACATCACACTCAATTGGCACAACACAGTACATAAAAATCTTGTTATACATCCTACTTCGGTGAGCAGAAACTGGGGTCTTAAAAGCTTTCGGGTGGCCATCTAAGATGCAACTATTGATCTCCTCTTACCTGGAGCAAACAAGAGTGAAGAAAACCAAAGTCATTTGGAAACAGTTAGTCCAAAGATATTATGGACCATGAAGATCTCAGCCTTCATGATCCCAAGACCAGAAGAACTAGATGGTGCTTGGCTAACAATGCCAAACACTCAGCAAGTGATCAAAATTGGAGATCTTGGATAGAGTAGGAGGAAAAATGTGGACACAAAAATGACCAGAATTACTGGTCAGACAGAGACAGAGACTGGTGGAACCCCCAAAACTATGGCCCTGGGTTATCTTTTGGGGCCTAGAAATGGACTTACTCCCATGGACTGGTTCTCAGCCCAACAGCAGAAAGACCTACATGCAGGACACCTACCCCAGGGAGATGCACCAACCTACCCTAGGGAGATGCACCCCTTAGATCAATCAACCACAACACATGGGAGGGAAAGCTGGACAGACAGGAATGCATAGATAAGAAGGGCACAGGGAGGAGGTAGTCACAGGGATGGGAGAGGAGGAGAGTTTTTTTAGGTTGGGAATTGTAACTGGGGCCATGAAATTAAATGTGCATGAACTGTTGAATGTAAAACAAATTGCTTTGTAAATCTGCACCCAAAGCACATTTTTTTTTAAAATAAATAAATACAGGAGACAGAGTGGGAGGAAAAAAAGACAGTCTAACAATCATTAAATAAGACTTCCATAATGAAAGGGTCAATATATGAAGACATAGTAATTGATGAATTTCAGGAAATAATAAAAGATGCAACACACAGATTAAAGAGGCCAGACAGAAAAAAACAAATAATAATATAAAATAATTAAAAACTACAAGTAAATCACATCAGAATGAAACTTTTAGTGCAAATACCTACAAGTCCAGGAGGCTATGGGAGCCCTGAAGAGGCACCCAGCCTGGGTGAGAGGTCAAAGAAGGGGCACATGACGCCAATGTTGTGATATGAGTCCCAAGTGATGAGTTAACAACAGAGAGTGCCTAAGGCACTTGACTGCTAACTAGAAGGCTGGCAGTTCAAACCCACCAGCCACTCCATGGAAAAAAGTTTGAGGAACCTACTTCTGTAGTGATACCGCCTTGGAAACCCAAGGAGGGGTTGCTATGAGTTGGATCCGACTTGACAGCAGTGAGTTTGAGAGTAAGAGAGGGAACAGAGATGAGAGATGGAGTGTAGAGAAGACAGGCACCCAGACAGAGGACATAGTCTCAGCAAAGGTGCAGGACAAGAAAGAGTGTCATCTGCCAGGAAAACAGGCAAGTTGGTGTTATGGAAGTTTAAAGTGCGAGGGAGGAGCAAAGCAATTGAAACTTGTGAGGCAGAACTGCGGAAATGCCAGAGACAAATTTATCTTAAAAGCAGAATCAGGAATAGACATTATTTTCAAAGGAGTAACAGGCGAGATTTACAGCTGACTTTTCTTCAGTGACAACGGAAGCAAGAAACAGTGGAACGTTATGTTCAAGAGAGAAGATAAATGCCAACCCAGTATTGCAAACCTGGCAAAGATATATTTCCAGGCAAGGGGAAGATGCAAACAGAAATCAAGAGTGTTTGCTACCAGGAAACCAGTGCTACAGGCTTTCGAGAATATACTTCAGGACAGGAATGATTATGGATGGATGGTCAGGGATGCAAGAACGAACCGAAGGAAGAAACGGTAAAGACATACAGTAAAAAGGGATGGGAGTTAGAAGGACATTGAGAGAATTCATAGAGAATATTTATGTGCCTGAAAACCTATGAATCAAAAATTAGAATTATAACTAGAAATATTTTATCTGAATGATGATAAAACACTTCATGTTAAAATTTGCAATTTGCAGCTAATGCTGTGCTTAGCGGGAAATTTACAGCTTGAAGTGAAAATATTGCAAGAGAAGAATGGCTGAAAATTAATGACCTAAGAATGCATATCAAGAAAGCAGACAAAGTAAAATAAACTGTGAGCAAATATGAGGAGGGAAATAACAGAAGTAAATGTGGTAGGCTCGGAGACAAGCTTGCTGATGAACTGAACTTGGGTACTTACACGAGGAGGATGAGGAAGAGGAAGAGCAGGGCTGATGCAATGGCCCCGTACACGATGCCCTGGATAAGCCCTTTCATGAACGTACTGGAACTGTAATTCTTATCTGGAACCAGAGGAAAGAGAGACAAGGTTTTTCTCCTTACGGTTTTGAAGTCGGAGCCACAGTTCGACTCTTCCTTCTGGCCCTATGCAGCATCTCACCCTGGTTCTCATGCACTGTCTTTCTAACCCAGTCACTGTTAGCTCACTTGGTATCAGGAAGATGCTTGATGTGTGGATTCCATATTGATTCTTCCCCTCACAGTGAAGGCTCGTGACCACTTCTGGCTTCCCAAGTGAGATGATGGTGCTGTTGGCCCAGAAGGCAAATGTGACCGACGTCACTTGGAGGACGTCATGCATGCTGTTCACGTCCACAGGAACATCTCCCATCCGCCACTGCACGGAGGGGGTGGGGATCCCGTGGAAGGAGCAGCTGCACTGCAGTGTCCTTCCCCAGGAACAAGAGAAACCGAGCAGCCTGGGGCGCGCTGTGGGGACGGAGGGTCAGGGGTCAGCAAGGGAGCCTGACATCCCTGCCCCACCTCCTCCAGGTCCCAGCCATCTGCTGCCTTCTGACTCACAAGGAGCTTCAGAAGGACATTCTAGATGCCAAGAGACGCTAGGCCTCCCAGACAAGTGCCCCCTTCTCCTCCTCCCTCACACTTGAGTTCAGGCCTCACCTCTGGCCTTTTGGTCCCAGAGGCCATGAGAAGGTGCAACAAGTCCTCAGATTTCCTCCCTCCAGGGCTCAGGTCTTTCTCTGAGACACACCATTTCTCCTAGACTCTGGGCCCTTCCCCTGCCCACCAGCACTCACAAACCACATGAATCATGACTGTGGCACGACTTCTGCTCAAGTTAGATAAGGAGAAGTTTGAGTGACATCCGAGGGTGGTGCCATGGTCCTCAGACTTCGGGGTGAAGTGCAGCCCTGAGGAGGAGGCGTTACTGGAGACAGCTGTGTTGGAGGATGTGGTGGGCCCTTTCCGGGTGGGGAAGAGGGCTTGGCTCTCTTTGCAGGCACCTTTGACGGTACAGATCAGGGTTACAGGTTCTCCAGCTGTAAGAATTTCGGGGATGTGGGGCTCTGGTTTCTCGGTCCAGTCTGCAGACAGAGAATGAGGACTCAAAACCTGGTAAGTGACCCTCATGGGCACTTCGCCGCTGCACAGTATTTCTAAGTTACCAAGTGCTTTTCCACCCATTAGCTCATTTGGTGGCACCAACAACCTTATGGAATATGGGGTCGTTATTTTTTGGGTGGCTTTTTACAAATAAATTTCCTTTCATTGTGTGAAAGTTTCAAGACTGATGGTGAGTGAATTTTCTGAGGATCTACTTTGCCTATGAACTCTACCTGCCCTCCTTCAAGGGAGACTTCCCAGCCTCAGCTCCTACTCTCCCTCCCTCTAGCCCTTCCTCCCACCTCCATCTCTCCCCTTAGGCTCTGCTCCTTGTTAGCCCAAGATGTGATCTACTTCCTGTATCTTAATGTCTGGATGCTGGTGGGCATGTCACTTCTCCTTTCCTTGCTGTTCCTAATTGGAAAAAGAAAGCTGCCAATTGTATGTTTACTGCACCATTACTGTAAAAATTAAGTGGCCCGATGTGTTGCAAAGCCCAGTGCTCAGTGAAATAAAAGCCACACAATTGCCAGACCACATCTGGATTTCCTTCATTCCAAAGCACTTGTTGCCTGAGACTGAATGTCACCTGACTCAAGTAGTGTGATATTCTCCCTCAGGGATGTACTTCTTTGCTCTCCTAGCTCTGCATAGAACAAGTATGTCTTGTTGTCCCTTTCGAGTGCATCCTGGGTCAGCTGGGTACAGCCTTGTTCTTCAAGATTCCCAGTATCATGGACTATGTCCTTGGTGTTATGACCTAGAGTCGTGTTGGGGTTATTTGTAGCTACGAGGGAGCTGATGTTCTTATTCAGCCAGTAGCCCACAATCACGGGCTTGCTTGAGGATCCTTCAGGAAATTCAAACACGCAAGGGATTATAATGCACAGCCCCTCTTCCTCTGGTATCTTTCTGACTTCCATCAAAACTTGAGAAAGTGACTCTGTGAAGAGAGATTCAAGTTGAAAACCAGACTCACCCTAGTGTCCCCTGGCATCCTGCCTGTGCATTGAAGGATTAACTTTGCTAAGAAAAGTTTAGTTCTTGCCCAGATCCTGGGAGATAACTTCTAAGCCCTCAGAATGTCCTGTCTGATGAGAGCGTCTTTGTTTATTGGAAGCCTTGGGTCCCACCAGATAGTCTATGCTAGCAATGGGACTTATGGTGGTGGCCTTGAGCCATGTGGTATCAGTTTGACTTCTGGAGTGGCTAGAGACTCAGGTCAGTTCAAGTGGGTGGTCAGCCATGTCTACATGACCAACTCCCCAATTAAAACCCTGGACAGCAAGGCTCAGGTGAGTTCCTGGGTCGGCAGTATGATGCATGTTTTCACACATAATTGCTGGGAGAAGTAGGCTTTGTCCATGACTCCACTGGGGAAGGACACCTGAGAGCTCAGGCTGGGTGTCTCCCGGATCCTATCCTGTGCCTCTTCTCTTTGCTGATTTTAATCTAGATCCTTTCGCTGTAATAAACTGTAACTGTGACTATATAATGGTCTGAGTTTTGTTCATCTTTGTAGTGAATCACTGAACCTGAAGGTGATTTGGGGGATTCCCCAAAGCAGCACCGCAAGCGGACCTACCTACTGTTTTTATTTGTTGTGTTAGGGGTATCTTGTGACCCGGGCCATGTCACATCCTCTCTGAATCCTAGTTTCTCTATCACAATAATTAATGTAATCATACTAATGTTGTGTGAATTAAAGATTATAATTACAGAAGTACAGGCCCTCGTAATAGTAACTGCGGATTGTGACTTAGCTGTTGGCTCTCAGGGAACACCTTCCTCTTTTCTTATCCATTTCCTGAATAACAGGTTTCTCGTGCAAAACAACAACAACAAAAAGGGTAGATTGGTTCCTGAGTCCATCTCTAGTGATGATGGTAGTGATAACAGCGCACATGAACTTTCACAGATTTCCCAGCGTCTTCATAAATGTTTGCTTAAGCCATCCTCATCATGGTTTTATTATTGCCCTCCTAAATATATGGGGAAACTGAGACTCAGAGATATTATAGGTTTTACCCAGAATCCTGGTGGTACCATAGTAAGCACTCAGCTGCTGACCCAAAGGACCCTTCTAGCGGCTGCATCGGAGAAACACTTGATCATCTGCTTCCATGAAGGTTACAGCCTAGAAAACCCTATGGGGGAGTTCTACTCAGTCACGTGGGGTCTCTCTGAGTCAAAAACTCATTCAATGGCACCTAACAACAACCAGCACCTGAGGTCATAGGTCAAGGAGTAATGGCACCAGGCCTGGGGCCCAGCTTTCTGCACTCTGTCCAGTGCTCTAGCCGTCAGGGGTCTTGATGCACTTGGTTCTGGCCACCACCCTGTCTCTTGTCTTTAAGATGGGAAGTAGTAACAACCACCACACAGGTGATGACCTATGAGAGGGTACATGTGGACACAATTATTACTTAAGTCCTAGAAAGGAAGAGTGCAGCATTAAGATGTAACTTCTGGGCACTGTATTAGAAAAAATGTTGAGTGATTTTGGAGAAGCTGCTTAATCTCTCAAAGTCCATGTATTGTCCACCAAATGGGGTGACACTTTCTCAGGAAGTTGTTGGGTAGATTAAATGGGACACAGGATGGGTCATAATGCCAACCAGACAGTGTACACAGAGAAGATGTCCATGACTTGTTAACCCAGTACCTAATTCTTCATGTCCTCACCTCTTCATCTTAACTCAGCCCGTATTTTGCCTCACACCCACCCCCGGCTCCTCAAACCCCTCCCACCCTGCCACTCGTCACTCACCCAGCCATAACAGGGACAATACCATCGGCAGCGACAGGATCTCAGGGACACGACAGGATCAGGGACTGTCTCGGTGTCAACCGTGGCCCCAGATCCAGGGGACCCGGAGAGCAGAATCTGGAGTGGATGAGGAGAAGAAGGGATGCAGGAGGAGGAATGGGGCAGGGCCAGAAGCAAGCTCACTGCTTACGAGGCACTCTTGTCTCTTTGATCACCTTTAAGGCCTGTTTACCTTGTGAGTTAGGACCAGGTGCTGTAGAGCTTCAAGGGCAGGACAGCATCCCCATGACTCTCTGTGAAGCCCCAACACCATGTACGTTTTCTCTCTCCCTGTCCCCTCCCCCTTTGATAGGCCTCGGATGTCAGGCTGAGGAACTCGGACTCTCTCCCAAGTCAATGGGGGAGCCATGGAAGCCATGGGAACCAGGATGGAGCAGAGTGAGGTTTGTGTGTCAGAAAGATCCCCTGGGTCAGCATTGAGGGGACCTTGGTCCAGGACAAAGATGATGAAACCTGAGGGACAGTGTTACGGAGAAGAGGGAATACACTGAAGAGATATCAGGGAAAGGAAAGATGTTCCTATGGTTGACAGCACAGATTGCCATCTTCCCTGCCATGGACTCCTCACTCTCCGTGATTTTGCCCCACACCTATGCCATCTCCTCTCCCACTTCCTTTCCTGTGTCTCTGCCCCTTCTTTCCTTGTCAAAGAGAACAATGTGTCCTTGTGTCCTACCTCTGAATGTGTATCCAGAGCACTTCTCTTTACATGGCATCTTCCCGCAATCCACTCTTACCTCTTTTTTCAAGTCCAGTCAGGTGTTACTTCCTCCTGGTAGTCTCCCTGGGGATATCCTCCAAGGGGACACTGCATGGTTTAAAATCAGGAAGGGAGTGCGTCAGGGTTGTATCCTTTCACCTTACCTATTCAATATGCATGCTGAGCAAAATATCCAAGAAGATGGACTATACGAAGAAGAACATGGCATCAGGGTTGGAGGAAGGCTCATTAACAACCTGAGATACACAAGTGACACAACTCTGCCTGCTGAAAGTGAGGATGACTTGAAGCACTTACTGGTTAAGATGAAAGACTACAGTGTGCAGTATGGATCAGAAAAAAAAAAACAAAAACAAAAAACA